CTCGGAGGGGGATGTATGTAGGAGATCCTGGATAGAGAGGAAAGTGGAACAAAACTCAAAAATCATTGAGAAAAAAAAAAGGATCAGGTTTGCTGGTCTGACAGAGCCTGGTGGAACCATCGAGACTGTGGCCCCTGACTGCCCTTCAGGTCTGGAATTGAACCCACTCCTGTGGCTTCCAGCCAAACAAAAGACAGGCATATGAGCTGAACATTTACCTGATGTAGATACACTCCTTGGAGAGATCAATCATGGGAGAAAGAAGGGCTGTGTGTGCACAGGGAGACAGCTCGGGGGGCAGGAGCGCGTGGAGAGGACACAGGGAAGAGGTAACTATGGGGAGGAAGTGGGAAGAGAGCTGTTGCATTTTGGGAAATTGTAGTCAATGTCATGAGACAGAGCATATGTGAGCTGCTGTGTGGAAGACAACTTTGCTTTGTAAACTTTCACCCAAATCACAGTAAAACTTTTTTAAAAAAAGTGAGGATGGTGAGACTTCAGCTCACACACTTTGAACATGTTATCAGGAAAGACCAGTCCCTGGAGAAGGACATCCCGCTTGGTAAAGCCCTTCAACAAGACGGCGAGATAGTGGCTGAACTGATACGCTCAGACACGGCAGTGACTGTGGGGATGCCGCATGACTGTGCAGTGCTTCCTTCTGTGGCTCACAGGGTCGCTGTGAGCCGGGGCCGACTTGATGGCACCTAACAACAACAAGCTGAGAGAAAGTAAGTTCCTCTTTGTGAAGGCCACCCCCGTGGTTTTTCTGCTACAGCTCCACTAGGTTCTAAGTAACTCGGTATGATGATGGCACGTGACTAAGGAAAGTAGGAAACAATGAATCCCTGGACCAGATCGAAACACACGTGGCACTGTTCATACATGATACAGGGGACCAGTGAACCACGGGGGCAAGATGGACTCTTCAGTAACTGGGGCTGGGACAACTGGCTAATCATTTGGAAAAAGGTGAAAGTGGATCCATACCTCACCCCATACACAGAAATAAACACCGAATGGGGAGAAAAAAAATCACACAAGTACTAGGAGAAAATACAGATTTAACATTAGTGTAGGGAAAACTTTCTAACAATTATTCAAAATGTTGAGGCACTAAAAAAGATGAATCCATTGACTACAGGTGGTTCTTGACTTAACGCCATATTCGAGTTACAACTGTCTATTTTAAGCCCATCTTGTACCACATACAACGTTGTGGCATGTAATCTGCTGATGTCATCGTTCTCAGATGTGATAGTGATAACAAAGGCAACAACGATGAGAATGGAGGAGTCCCACTTCGGTCCCAATGACCGATGGCAGAGCTGTCGGCATGGCACCCAGACGTAAGCCAGGGACCACTTGTACGCAGGAGTGCTGTCACTGCTGCCACCGAGTCCTGGTGCCCTCACGAACAGTGGGAGTGGACTGCTGTGACCCACAAGGTGGCACTGGTGGGCTGTCTCCCAGTAGCCTGCGGGGCTGTCCTCCTCCTCGTGGGTTTCCATCTGGAAGCTCCACTGCAGCCCACCAGCAGCACGGCCACAAAGCCACCACCAGGGACAGGTGGGGGCTGTGCCTGGCGCCCTGGCTGGGACTCGAGCCCTGGCCTCCTGCAGGAAAGGTGAGCCAAGTCTCCACTGACCCACCACAGACCCACATACAAGCACTATGGCCACAAAGCACTATGAACAGAGACAACTTAAGAAAGGGCAGAAACTGTCTGCCACATGTAACGCAGTTAAAAGCTGAAATCCTGAAGATGTAAAGGACTCTAAAAAACTGAAAAAAAAAAAAAAAGGGCGGGAGCCCCATTAAAAATTTATTTTAGAAGGTATGTACAGAAAATTTCCAAAAGAGATCAAGGAACAGCCCTAAAAAAATCTGCCGTCATAATTAGAGAAAAGCGAAAGTTAAAACTGTCCTGAGGCCAGACAGCTCAATTTAAACAGCACGCGGAGACACTGTGCTGGGAGGCCCCGAGGACGTGGTGCTGATGCAGCGCGTAGCAGGGTGCTGGTGCCCAGTGCAGTGGCCAACGGTTTGTGGAGGGTTCTCAGCAGAGCACCAGGCAAGACCAAGCACAAGGACAGACACTCTCCTTTGCCCCAGAATGCCCTCCACTGGCCCAGCCCCGACAACAACACCCTGACACCCCACAGGACCCACGACACCGTGTCTGTGATAGGACACTGAACTCTCTGGGCGCCTGCCCGTGGGCTGCGGTGGGCTCCGGTGCAGTGTGACAGGGGGAGGCCTTGCAACTGGCAGAACGAAAAGAGTCTCCATGAAATCACTGTACTTTCAGACTGTATTGTATGTGGGGGAAAACAGCAAGGAGCCAAAGAGTGAGCATGGTATGTTACCGTCTGTGTGAAAACAAAAAAATGGGGGGGGGAGCCAGAGAAAACCCGCTTAGCTACCTGCAGAAGGTGGGTAGCAATGAGATGAGGCAAAAGGGGTCTATTGAGTGCAAACCCAAACCACCACGGAACCCACAGGACAGACGGACTGACCGTATTTCAAATGATGTAACAGCTGTACCGGGCTGGGGCTGGCGAGGGTGCCGTGCTGGCTTCTACCTGGCACCCTGCCGCCAGGCCCTTGGGCCGTGGTGGAGCAGTGCCGCCCCAAACGCTGGCCGTGGCCGCGAGCTCTGGCAGTGACAAACCAAGGGCAGCCGCAGTTCAGACGCCATGTGCGGGGCGGGACTAAGCAGGCATGTGCTGGAGACAGCCAACCAGCTCTTCACCGTCAGAGCGGGGAATTGGCTCAAACGATCCCTGATGCTATGAGGCACTGTCGAGTCAGCTCCGACTCAGAGGCCCCGTGTGACAGAGCACAGCCGTCCAACAGGGTGTCCCAGGCCGTCACCGGCATGAGAGCAACCGCTGGGCAGGACGGAATCACCCACCCGCTGGTCCACAGCCAAGGGCTTCACCAGCTGTGCTACAAGGGCCTCCTGAACTGTGCGCTGGAATCAGAGGGACCAGTGCCAACACGTGCTTTTGAGTATCAGAACTGGATACGGAAACAGATATGGATGGCCATGTGTGGTCTACATGCACACACCACCACACGCGTGCCCACTTCCTGGCTCTGCTGACCGGGAGGGCCAGGGAGCAGGGACACACCCCGCCCTCACTCTGTCTCACTCTCCACCAGCAAGAACCAGGGGTTCCCGACGGGGGGCCTGGAACAGGCAGCAGGCAAGACTAGTCTGGACCCCGCAGCCGTGCCCGAAAGGAAGATGAGTTCCCGCAAGGTGAGCAGCTCCAGGGTGCAGGAGGCGTCCACTGAGCATGCCTGGGCCGACCAGAGCCTCCAGGTCACAATCTACAGTATCCCACGCCAGCCCCGAATCCCTCCTGATACGACTAAGTGAACAAAAAGCAAACGGGTGAAAGAAACGCTCCTCTGGAGGGCAGAGCGCCAGCAGACGGTCAAGAAGGGGTCGTCACCACAGGAAGCAAAGCAGCAACAACCCGCAGGAGGCGGTGACCAGCCGCAGGGCGGCCCCGCCCGGAACAGCCTTGCGAAAAGCCGTGGGGAACAGAACTTGACCATGGCGCACATGCCATCCACGGCATCGCCAGGGACGGGCCGACAGGGGGTCCTGCTGATAGAGTGCACTGAGAAGAAGCCAGCAACACTGCTATGGGATTAATGCTGTGAGTCAACGGCCAGGCACCCCCAGACACACACAAACGGAGGAACATCCTGACACGTGAACGGCTACACTTGTCCCAAACATCAAAGGAAAAAGCAAAGGAAATCTGAGGACCTGATCCCAATGTAAGGAAGTGGTGGCGTAGTGCCTGATGCACTTGACTGCTGACCAGAAGGCTGGAGGTTCAAACCCACCAGGCACTCCTCAGCAGGAAGGTTGGGCAATCTACTTCCGTAGAGATACCACCTCGGAAACCCAAGGAGGGGTCGTGGTGTGTTGGATCTGACTTGATGGCACAACACCACCACCACCACCACCACCGAGTAAATACAGCAGGGGTCTCAGACTGCATCCTGAGCAGGAAGCACAACCATGCCCCCCCAACACCCCTCCACCAAAATCCCTAATAGATCAACTGGAGAGATGGAGATCTGGGTGAGGTCTGTCCTGAGATGATACTATTGATGACTGGGGAATCCCATCACATCAGTGCTAACTTCCTGATTTTGATCACTGCACTGTGTTTTTAAGAGAATGTCCTTGTTGTGAGCAAATTCACAGTGACGTATTTATGAGTAAAATGGAAAAATACCTGCTACCTACTTTCACTTAGTTCAGTAGAAGAACAGAGGGGCAGGGAGGCGGGCAGAGAAGGGGGCAGAAACCAAGGGTGGCCACAGGCTGATGTTGGCAGATGAATGTATAAGCCTTCTTTATGCTACTGCAGCTTTTCAGTAAGCCTAAAATTGTAAAAGGAATGTAACGACAACGGCTACTTGTCCCCCACTGATGAAGAGGCTACCAAAGGCACAAAGCCAGGATGACTGGTCTAACCGAGCCTGGAGAGAGCCCCGAGACTACGGCTCCTAGTCACCCTCTGGGCCTGGCTTCCAGCCAAACGACAGGCAGGCGTACAGGGTGAGCACTTACACCAGGTAGATACACTCCTCAGAACACTCAGCATGGGAGATGGGAAGGGCAGCATCTGCACAGGGAGACGGCTCAGGGGGCAGGAATGCACGGGAAGGGGGGACACGGGGAGCAGTAAGCACGGAGGGCGGGGGTGGGAAGAGAGCTGCTACACTGGGGATTGCAGTCAGTGTCACAAAGTGGAACGGTCTGACTTGCCGGAGGAAAGTTAACGAGCTCTGTACACTTTCACCCAAATCACGATAAAAAAGTAAGTGAGGCACGAAGCCAGAGCCAGGGCAGCAGCGCCCCGCCTCCCGGGCGGGACAGGAGCCGCGCCAGATGGAGTCCCTTGGCCGCGGGTCTCACCCAGAACGCGTGACACCACCGCCGAGGAGCACCCCTGCTCTGCATTTACCAATTGAGCTGCCGGCTCTGTCGGCTTTCTTCTTCTTGCTCTTCTTGCTCTTGCCCTTCGGCTGAGGCGACTCGGCCAGGACCAGCTTGCCGTTCTGCTGACACTCGCCGGGAGAAGCGGGCTCAGTGGGCGCCACCGGGGACCGCTCGTCCTTGATGTGGTTCAGCTGCTTTTTGTTGTTACAGGTCACCTTCTTCTCCTCCCTCTTGTGCTCCACGAGGGCAGCGAGGTCCAAAGCTTTAGCCTTGGGGTCCGTTTGGGGCCTGGCCCTGGGAGCAGCCTCCAGGACTCTGGGGCACTCCCCAGGCTTCTTCCCCGGCTCGCCGCTGGCCTTGCCAGCCTGCCTGAACTTTGCTGTGCTGTCCCCTTCTCTGTGCTGGTGCATGACATCCAAGAGGAAGGACAGGGACTCCTGCTGCTTCCCACTGGCCTCCTTCTGGGCCAGGAGCCTCGAGTCTCTGGTGCCGGCGGGGGCTGTGGCGTCCAGTGCTGGCCTTGGCTCCGTGTGGCTCTCGTGTCTGGAAGGGGAGCGAGATGAGGTCTCTGGATCGTCACTGTGTTCGAGGGTGCCATTGGGGATGCTCTCAGAGTGCGGCCCAGGCTCTGCGGCTGCCTGGCAGTTCCGAGCCAGCAGGCCCAGCTTGGGGCAGTCTTTCCCGGGCCTCTCCTTCTTCTTCTTCTTCACAGCCCTCAGCTGCTGCAGTTCCTGAAGCCGCTGCAGCTCCTCCTTGAGCTGCTCCTCCTCCTCCTCCCGCCTCCGCTGCTCCTCCAGGACATGCAGGTGCTCCCGCTCCCGCGCCTCGGCCTCCAGGCGGGCTTTCTCTTCCAGCTGTCGGTGGGACAAGAAAAGGTGAGTCAGGACCACAGGGTGCAGTCTGGGCAGAGACACACAGGCAATGAGGCCACTCTAAAGCTGACCACACACGGACAGTCACACACACACACACAGGCAATGAGGCCACTCTAGAGCTGACCACACACGGACAGTCACACACACACAC